ATTCCCACCTCACTACAATATCATTCACTCTCTATTTTTCTCACAGATTATTTTCTTATACCTTGTCTATGAAACCTCACTCTTTCTTTCTCTCTTTGTTGGTGTGTATAAATGAGAGTTGAAGATCTCCTTTTATAGCCGAAGCCTCACTCTCTAAAGGCTACTATATTTGACAATTTGCACACACTTTTCCTTTTTTTCTTCAATGTTGACAATTCAACAAAGTTGGCTACCAAACCAAAGAAATTCAACAATGTTGTCTACCAAACCAAAGAAATTCAAAAACGTTGGCTACCAAACCAAAGAAATTTTCCTTAGGCACATGCCTATTACTTTGGCTTTTGAATGAGATGGACTCCATCAATCTCCCCCTCTAGTCTCATTCATCTAGACGAGGTAGCACTGTCTTCTAGTTTGAGTGCATGCCGACAAGTTCTTTGCATAGCTCGAACTTGTCTCTTGGTACGACCTTGGTCAGCATATCTGCGGGATTCTCACTTGTAGAAATTTTCAAGACGTTTAGAGATTCATTCTCTACCATTTCTCGAATCCATGATATCTCACGTCGATGTGTTTGGTCCTTGCATGGTACATGGAGTTCTTGCTAAGTCTATTGCACTTTGACTATCACAATAGACGGCATACTCCTTCCAATACAATTCAAACTATTGAAGAAACCGTTTCAACCATATCATCTCCTTTCCAGCTTCAGTAGCGGCAATATACTCCGCTTTAGTTGTAGAGAGTGCGACACACTTCTGCAACTTCGACTGCCATGATATAGCTCCCCCTGAAAATGTGAACAAATATCCAGTAGTGGATTCTTTGTTATCAATGTCACCTGCCATATCAGCATCTATATAGCCCTTCAAGATTGAATCAGATCCTCCAAAGTCAAACAATCTCTCGTGGTACCTCTCAGGTACTTGAGTATCCACTTGACTACTTTCAGTGTTCTTTTCCAGGATTTTCAAGGAATCTGCTAACAACACTAACTACATGAGCAATATCAGGTCTGGTGCATACCATTGCATACATCAAGCTTCCGACTGCTGAAGAATAAGGAACTCCAGGCATGTTCCCTTTCTCCTCCACTGTTGTAGGACATATTTTCTTGCTCAACTTTGGATGACTAGCAAGAGGTGTGCTGACTGGCTTAGCATTCTTCATGTTGAAGCGTTCCAGTACACGTTCAATGTACTTCTCCTGAGATAGCCACAAATTTCTACTTGTTCGCTCTCGAACTATCTTCATACCCAGAATTTGTTGTGTTGGGCCCAAGTCCTTCATATCAAATGACTTGGACAAATCTCTCTTCAACTTTGCGATCGATCCCTTATTTTTTCCTACAATTAACATGTCATCCACATACAACAACAATATAATAAAGTTATTTTGAGAAAATCTTTTTAAAGTATACACATGGATCAGAATATGTCTTTGTTTAAGTTTGACTTTTCATAAATGAATCAAACTTCTTGTACCGCTGCCTTGGTGCATGCTTCAACCCATAAAGACTCTTTTTCAGTTTTCACACCCTGTGTTTCCTTTGAGCTATTTCAAATCCTTCTGGCTGATCCATATAGATCTACTCTTCCAAATCTCCGTGAAGAAATGCAGTTTTCACGCCCAACTGCTCTACTTCAAGATATAGGCTAGTTGCTTAGCTCAAGATTGTTCGAATAGAAGTAATTTTGACAACAGGTAAGAAAATTTCGTCAAAATCAATACCTTTCTTTTGCTCGAAGCCTTTTACCACCAATCGAGCTTTGTATCTGACAAGCTTGCCATTTTCATCTTTCTTGAGTTTAAAGACCCATTTGCATTTGAGTGGTTTTTTCCCTTTGGAAGTTCAACCAGCTTGTACGTGCCATTTTTCTGTAGAGATTCCATCTCCTCTTGCATGACTTTCATCCACTGGTTCATTTCTGGATGAGACAACACCTCCTTAAAACTTTTTGGCACCCCTTCATCACTGATGAGGACATACTTTGTGGAAGGGCACTTGCATGACTCTATCCTTGACCTCTCTGATCTCCTCAGAGGTTGAGGTTGTTCTTCTTACTGAGTAGGGTACACCACCTGCTCGACATCATCATTAAGTTGCTCCCCCTACTCAATAACCTCACCAGGTTGCTCCCCCTGCTCGGCAACCTCGTCGGTCCTACTTTCCACACTTATGGGATTATTAGAAGTAGAAGAAATAGTAACAAGGTTAGGAATTATACCATTCTTGGCCTTCTCTAGAATATCATCAACAGTTCCAACATCACTTTCTCGGAAGACTACATCTCTGCTTCTGATGATCTTCTTCTTTACAGGATCCCACAATCTGTATCCGAACTCTTCATCTCTATATCTGATGAATATGCAGGGAACATATTTATCATCTAGCTTTGTTCTCTGCTCCTTTGGTACATGTGCAAAAGCTCTGCAACCGAACACCTTCAGATGCGAGTATGACACCTTCTTGTTGGTCCAAACTCTCTCTGGGATGTCAAAGGCCAACGGAATTGATGAACTCCTATTGATCAGGTAACATGTTGTCTAAACTGCTTCACCCCAGAATGACTTAGGTAGTTTAGCCATTCTGAGCATGCTTCTCACCTTCTCTGCAATGGTTCGGTTTATCCTTTCGGCTACACCATTGTGTAATGGGGTTCCAGGAACTATCTTTTCATGTCTGATCTCATGGCTCGAACAATACTCTTCAAATTTCCTTGAAGTGTACTCACCTCCATTGTCACTTCGAAGACGCTTTAACTTTTGGCCTGTCTCCCTTTCCACCATAGCATGAAACTTCTAGAAAACGTGAAACGCCTGATCTTTGGTTTTCAAAATATAAACCCATATTTTTCGTGAAGCATCATCAATAAAAGTAACAAAATATTTGTTACCGCCTATTGATTCAATTTTCATTGGACCACAAACATCAGAATATACCAAATCAAGTATATTCAATTTTCTTTCAGACGATGCTTGAAATGAGACTCTATGTTGCTTACCAAATAAACAGTAGTCACAAGATTTTACCGTTGTACCTTTGGCATAAAAAATGAGTGATTTCTTGGCAAGAATCTGCAATCCCTTCTCGCTCAGATGACCCATTTGTTTGTGCCATAAATCTGCAGAAATATCATCTTGTGCCGTTTTTAATTCACCTTGGCATATTTCTGCATTTGTCCTGTACAACATGCCACGAGCAACTCCCTTTGCAATCACCAATGATCCCTTGGCGAGTCTCCACTTTTGATTTGCAAAATAGTTCTTGTATCCATCTCGGTCTAAAGCAATTCCTGAGATCAAGTTCATCCGCAAATCAGGTACATGACGCACGTCCTTTAGAACTAATGTGCATCCGACATTTGTCTTGATACAAATGTCACTGATCCCCGCAATATTTGAGTAACTCATCTTACCTATTCTCACAGTTCCAAAATCACCTGCCACATATCTACAAAAAAGATCTCTTATAGGTGTGGCATGGTAAGATGTTGCTGTATCAACTACCCATTCCGACTCTGGACCTGATAAGTGCATGCATTCCTCATCCTCATTTATAAAAAGGACAACATTATCATTGTTTTGCACCATGGCGGCTGTGTTGTCGTCATTCTTCTGGCCACTGATTTCACCTTTGCCCTTCCTTAGATTTGGGCAATCTCTTTTGAAGTTACATAGTTGATCACAATTATAGCAATTTCTGGCTCTTGATTTGGGTCGGTTCTTAGACTTCCCAGCTCCGGATCTACCATAGTTGCTCGAACTCCTTTGATAACTCCTGCCTCTACCTTCTGTGATGAGAGCCTGTCCTTGATTTTCAGGATTCTTTCTCATCTTCTCATTGAGTAGAAGAGCCGATGTGATGTCTTTCAACCCAATGGTAGTCTTACCGTGCAGGATCATTGTTGCCAAATTATCGTACGAAGATGGCAACGAGTTCAATAGCAAGATGGCTTTATCTTCTTCTTCGATTTTCACTCTGAGATTGGCGAGTTATGTGATTAGTCCGTTAAATACATTTAAATGTGACAAAATATTTGTACCTTCACCCATGTGTAGGGCGTATAGCTGCTTCTTCAGGTACAATTTATTTGTCAGCGTTTTGGACATGTATAGGCTTTCCAACCTTGTCCAAATGCCACATGCGGTATCTTCATCAATGACGTTATTTACCACATCATTTGATAAGTGCAGCCTGATTGCACTAACAACCCTTTCATCTAAGTCAGCCCAATCCTCAGCTTTCATGGTATCAGGCTTTTTGGTATCAACATCTAGTACCTTGTGTAATCCATATTGGATGAGCAGATCCCTCATCCTTCTTTGTCATGTTGAGAAACCGCTATCTCCGTTAAATTTTTCTACCTCGTATTTTACGCAGAATATTTTTATTTTTTACCGAGTATAGTACTACCTAGAAGAACCTGTGCTATGATACCAGTTGTTGGGAATAAATCCCCTATAGAAATAATATTCACACTAATAAAAGCGGAATAATAACATAGCACCGAGATATGGTAATTAACAAGAATAAAAGAGTGACTACGACACCAATATTTTTACGTGAAAAACCCTTTTGATTAAGGGAAAAAATCACGGCCCCGAGACGAGCAACAAATATCACTATAGCAACTCAAAAGAAATAACTCTCTTTTGATATTCCCACCTCACTACAATATCGCCCACTCTTTATTTTTCTCACATACTATTTTCTTATACCTTGTCTGTGAAACCTCGTTCTTTCTTTCTCTCTTTGTTGGTATGTAGAAATGAGAGTTGAAGCTCTACTTTTATAGCCGAAGCCTCACTCTCTAAAGCCTACTATATTTGACAATTTGCACATACTTTTTCTTCTTTTTATTCAATGTTGACAATTCAACAAAGTTGGCTACCAAACCAAAGAAATTCAACAAAGTTAGCTACCAAACTAAAGAAATTTTTCTTAGTCACATGCCTATTACTTTGGCTATTGAATGAGATGGAATTGGGACGATGTCATGGAGTACAAGAAAGCAAGTGTAGATAGACTAAAGAGAGTGTTCTTAAAATACGAAGATATGAAGAGTAACACGTTATGCTATGTGAAAAAGTTGGCAGAGTTCACGGGTAAATCCTTCTCTAAGGAGGAAGAAAACCTAGGTGTAGCTGAAAAGATAGTTGCGCGCTGTCATTTCGAAAGTTTGAGCAATTTAGAGGTGAACAAGAGCGGGTGGCTTCACCCAAATCCTTTGACAGTCAAGAACAATGCATTTTTTCGAAAAGGAGAAATTGGAGATTGGAAAAATCTTTTGACTGAGGATATGGCAAAATCAATTGATCACATAACGCAAGAGAAATTCCAATTTTTGGGCTTGACATGGATCCCTGTTTCAACACATGAGTGCAAGAAAAATACAAAGGATTAAGGGAGTAATGAATTAAGAAGACTGCTTTTGGTATTATCATTTCTGTATTTCCTTCATTTTTCTTCTTTGATTCTCTTTTGTCATGTCATTAATTGGAGTGTGAAATTTATTATAGTTTGCAATAAATTACTATATTTCGGACATCCTGATTTGGTTATCCAATTTTTCATCTGACACGAATTCTTTTCATGAAATTGTGAGATATTGTTATGCTAAATATTCAGTCAACTCGCTGTAAGAGTTAAATGTCTCACATAATAACAAATTTTTTGAGGAAAGTAGATTTTCCAAGATAGCTTCTCTTTAAGAAATAAAAGAAAAATATATATGTCGAGTTATTTTCTGCTTACTATTTTTCGTAACACTTTAACTTAAAAATAAGTTTAAATCATCAATATCATTGTTACTATTATATCTTAAGCGGAAAAGGGCCTAAAATGCCCCTCTACTATATGAAATAGGACATGCTAGCACTCCGTTAAAAGTTGGTTTCTATTATGCCCTTGCCGTCAACAAATGGGCTCGTATATGCCCTCCATCACTAACGGGAGACTCATAAAGCCACGTGAAATATATGTGAGGGCAAGTTAGACCTAGTTCGAATTGTACAGGGGCATATATGAGTCAGTTATAATAGTCATTTCTCAAACACTTTACTACTCAATATCAGTTTACTTAGACAACTACTTGACAATACCAAACTAATTATCACAGCAAATAAACTAAGTCATAGACACAAACATTCAAATGAATGACAATGACTTCATTAAATCCTAGTAGCTCAAAGGGGTTGAATCATAATAAAAGACAACAAAAGACAATGTCGGAATATTCTAGTAGCTCAAAGGGGTCGAATAGGAGGTGTCGTCGCGGACTTGCTGCCAATTATTTCATGGCATGGACTCCTTTAAATGCTGGGAGAAGGTTTTTCAAGTGCCCGAAGCATGAGGTAAGTAAATTTTTTGATGGGTTCTTTTAATTATTCTGATTTGCTTGTAAATTTGTTTTATTTATTTTTGGGTTTTAGGATGAAAAATATTCCTATTGGGAATGGCAAGATGAAGAGCTTCCTCCTAGAATTTCAAATCTCATATGCAGTTTAAAGCAGAAAAAAGAAGCTCTAATCCGTAAAACAAATGCTCTCCAAAGGAAAGTTTGATCTTGAGAATGTTATGATACTCGTCGATCATGGAAGAATAGAAGCCTTGGAATTGGAAAGAAATGTTCTAATGAAGAAAGTGACCAATTTAGAGTACTCAGTTGTGCTTGATGCTAAATTTCGGAAGAAGATGTGAATTTTCATATGTGTGATAATGAGATGTTTTGTTATGTTCTTTGGATTCGTGGGAAATGATATGTAATGTTAGTGTTATTATGGCTTAATTGTTGTCTTTTATTATGTAATGAAACATTATGTTTTTGTACAAGGATTTAATGAAGTCATTATCGTTCATTTGAATGTTTGTGTCTATGACTTAGTTTATTTGCTGTGATAATTAGTTTGGTGTTGTCAAGTAGGTGTCTAAGTAAACTGATATTGAGTAGTAAAGTGTTTGAGAAATGACTATTATAACTGACTCATATATGCCCATGTATAATTCGAACTAAGTCTAACTTGCCCTCACATATATTCCACGTGGCTTTATGAGTCTCCCGTTAGTGATGGAGGGCATATACGAGCCCTTTTATTGACGGCAAGGAAAGAATAGAGACCAACTTTTAACGAAGGGCTAGCCTGTCCTATTTCATATAGTAAAGACACATTTTAGGCCCTTTTCCGTATCTTAAGAAATATTCAAGGTTAAGACATTATTTTTTAAAATTCTCGTCATCTAATGATCTCAAATTTTTACTAATAGGACCCCAAAATTTGGGGGCCTAAAGCAAGTTCCTTTCTTGCTTTACCATGAAGCCGGCATGACAAACAATGTCACGTAACACCATTTGGGCTAAGGTAAAGTCGCCCCCGTATCTTACAACTATTTTCGTTTGTATTCCATTTAAATTGGTTCTCGAGTATTACTGCACAAAAAACCAGCTTTTGTAAGTGTCCAAGTAAAATGAACGCCCGGAGCAATTAAGGTTGGTGGATTAGTTCTTGCTGCTGCGAACTGATATTTCGACCTGGAACACCACATAATTTAAAGTCGGCAACAAAAAAAGTTATGCTCTATTGAATTTTTACTTCTATTTTATATTCATTAATTAAGCATGTATACTCCCTCCGGTCCATAATAAGTGACCAATTTACTTTTTTATTTTTGTCCAAAATAAGTGTTCATTTATATAATCAAGAAAAAATTCAATTTGTTTTTTCAAAATTACCCTTATGTACGTATCGCTAAAAAGTCTTTTACTCCTCACATTAACTATATTCCAACATTTAATTAAGGGTAGTTTAGTCACACCAACTATTTTTATCTAGAATTTTGTATTTTCTTAATGGGTGTGCCCAAGAAAAATTGATCACTTATTGTGGACAGGAGGGAGTAATTGATTTTAATTAAAGCCAAACGTAATATTTTCTTATCTTTTTACGTGATATAGATAGTTTCTATATGCTCAATTATGGGAGGTTCACATGGGCCCTTGCCAATCTGTTTCCTGACCACTATTGAACAAGATATGGAAGGTTGAAATAAGAGGACATTATATGTTGTTATTAAAGTCGTGGACGGGAGTTGAAAGTAAATCGCAAATGAAAATAGAACTAATTTGTATTTACACAAATTCTTCCTCTATATCAATGGAGAAGCTGTCTCCTAAACTATCAGGTTCCAATTTTAGATACTTCCATTTCGCCCCCTCCCAGAAAATGACAGTCATCTTCCCCTTCCAAAGCTAGTCGCTTATGTGCCAATATTGCTGAAAATTCCAAGGAAGTCATGAGCATGAAATACAAAGAGATAATATCAACCCTCCCTAAACATGAAACTCCCTATCCTCCTTATGAATTCTGCCAATACCAAGGCTTTTGGTTCCCTTTTATCCTCCTAGAAGGAATTGCATTTTTATCAGAGGTCTTCAAGGCTGAATCTTGTGATATTTTCCTTTGCAGTTTTCCAAAAACAGGTACCAATTGGCTTAAAGCCTTGGCCTTTTCTATTATGACAAGATCAGATCAACTTTTTGATGACTCCACCAAGTTACCCCAAGAAATTGTACCAACTATGGAAACTGATTATGTCTTAAACCCTACTTTTCTAGACACTCATGAGTTGCCATTGTTTGCCACACATCTTCCTTACACTCTCTTACCACAATCCATACTAGAATCAGATTGCAAGATCATATACATATGTAGGGAACCCAAAGATACATTTGTTTCTCTATGGCATTTTACTAAAACAGTTAAGAAAAACGTTGAAGAACTTAAGGATATCCCCAGTAATCCACTCGAACAAGCATTCGAAAATTTTTGTGAAGGAAAATCCGTGTCTGGACCTTACTGGGATCACGTTACAGAATACTGGAAAGCAAGTTTAGACAGACCCGATAGAGTGTTCTTCTTGACGTACGAAGATTTGAAGAGCGATACTTTGGGTTATGTGAAGAAGTTAGCAGAGTTTATGGGGAAACCTTTCTCTCAGGAGGAAGAAATGCAAGGTCTGCCTGAAAAAATAGTGACTCGCTGTAGTTTCCAAAGTTTGACAAGTTTAAGCAACTTAGAGGAGAATAAGACTAGAAGTGCGGGACTGATCAGTAACAGTGCATTTTTTCGAAAAGGAGAAATTGGGGATTGGAAGAATCTTTTGACGGAGGATATGGCGAAATCCATTGATCAAATAACCCAAGAGAAATTTCAGTGTTTGGGCTTGACTTTCCCCATTTCAGCGCGGTGTGAAAATAGTGCCAAGGAATAAGGGTGAAATGTATTTTTTAAAATAAGAGACCGTTTGACTAAATTTATAAGCTTGTCAACTGGCTTATAAACACGTTTTGGCTTTTCTATGTGTTTGGTAAACATTCAAAGTGCTTATAAGCCAAGTGCTTATAAGTTAAAATAAGTCATAAGTCATAAGTTGGTCACCCCCAACTTATGACTTTTCAGCTTATAAACACTTTTAGTTTGATCAAAACTTTTACTACTTTATCCTTAATAATATTTTTTAATTTACAAATATTTTTTCAAAAATAATTTTTTTAATTTTCTCTTCATTTTGTATTCGTTGTTTATCATTTTCTCTACAAAGCAACTTTTTAATTCATATTTTTTTGTAAAAACTTTAAGGGTATTTTAGTCTTTTTAACAAGAGAACAACTTATCAACACTTTTTTACCAAACATATCAACTGCTTATTATCAGTTTCAGCACGTCTATCCCAACACGTAAACGCTTATTTTAAAAATCAGTTTTAATACTTCAAGCTTATCAGCTATTTATAATTAGCTAATCCAAACGGGCTCTAAGTACCCTTTTGTTTTTCATTTAGATCTGTCTGTCTGTCTTCTTCTTGATGCGTGCGTGTTTTTATTGTTGTTTGGTAGTAATAAAATGGTTAATCCGGGCGTCCTCATTTGTTATCAAACTTTCATTTGACTTGAACTTTATACATGGAATTATGTGATATTATTAAATTAAAAATTTGGTCAACTTGACTGTGAAAATAATTACATGTATCACATAGAAACTATAAAGAAAAACATTTTTGTGTGGATAAAATCTTTTTAAGAAATAAATAAACAACCATAGTGAATACTAGAGTTACTTGTCCTAATAATAAAAGAAAAATACATACCCCATAAATATTACTACTACTCTTAACATATACGCAACATGTGATTATTAATCATTCAATTGTTTTCTTTGACATGTTGGATTAGATGTTCATAGTAGAAAGAAACCCATATTTTGTCAATTTATTAAAAATCCAATAAAAACTTGTCCCTATACCAAATTTTGCATTTCAATAATAGAGTAGGGGTACAAAAAGTAAAATCTTACGAGTCGGCTGGAACGCCAGATAGTAAAAGACTAATCTCAGGAGAAAACCTCATTATCCTCTTCTTTATTTTGAAGCCAAAAAGATAGAGAGGTCAATGAAAAATCACAAGAGCCCATTGAACAAACAAAATTTATCAACAAAGGAAGTAAGGAATTGGCAAGATTGTAACACTATTCATTGATGCCTAGGAAGGTTGTTTATCTTGGTCAGGGGCTGGTGTTGTCCAATACTGCTTCATGATCAACCATCCTGCTATTCCATTGTAGCCCATCTACTACGCTCTTCACATTTACCAAAACATCCACGTCGTCTCGGAAAATTACACTGCCTTGTGGCCTTAATATTCTGTCCATTTCCAATAATATATCTTCCATTTCACATCTGCAAACATAAACGTAAATCAACGATCAAGAGAACATGCAACATTCAATGGTTGCTCGGGGAATATGAACCACGCAACGGTTACCTGTCCTGGTAGAGGCTGAAAATAGAACCAGCATGTATGAAGTCATAAGTTCTAGGATTCGTAGACATGGCTTCGCACCAGGATGAAAAGAGCATCATCAGTTACAAGCAGGAAATGGCAAAAAGCTTTGGTATGTCCCAATCAAACCACGTTCATAGATAACTCCAAGCGTATTGACTTCAGCCTCAACAGGGACGGCGTTCATGACCCAAACTGGATCATCAACAAGTGCAGCCGAAAATCTTCCCAACCAAGCATTCATGTCAAGTATGTTACGGTACCTTCCACGCTCTGCTAATTGGAAGTCCAGGGCCTTGTAGTGGCCGACTCTCTTCCTCCACAATTCTGTATCTTTAGAGAAGCCCTCTGCAGTTACTCCCTCTATGCTTGCACTAGCAATCCTAGGAGGGACGACAATCAATCTTTCTGGCCAATTATCCAGCGGCCCTCCAGCAAAATCTCTAATGTTAGACACTTCAGGGAGGGGACTTAAACAAGCATCAATCTTGGTGTACCTGGAAGATTGAAGAGTCTATGTGTTTACCGAAAAAATCGGATAACGTTAGATTTTGTGTATGGTTCTAAGGATATGCGATACAGTTCGATATAAATCGTGTAGAGAAATAGAGATACGTATATTCTTGACTGTGAAAATGCAAATAGTGGGCAATAAGAATGAATAAGATAAAATAAAGAAAACACAAAGGGATATCTTTCAATCTGAGAAGTAATTTTTGTCTCTGTCCTTTAGCTTACAAGGATTTCCCTTTTATAGAAGAGGGTCATTACAAAAAATAATAAAATAAAACATATAGTGGAAGGCCCATGATGACTTGTCTCTTCCTTGATTCCCGCCAAGATTCTCTCCCTTGGTGCGGTCGCAACTGCTCTTGTCTGTGAGCCGACCTTCGAGATGGGCATCGCGCATTTCCAACCTCGAAGCAGTGCCTTGCGGATCGATTCGGTCACGGGCTCGATAGGATTATCGAGCCGACTCCTCGAGCGACCTTCGGGCTCGAGGCTCGTTAGTACCGACTTCGGAGCTCACTCCCAAAATCTCATTCCGACTTTTTAACGCTCGAACTCGATCGAACGTAGGAAGGCCGAAATCTGTTTCGACCATATACACTATGATAAATACATCAGGGAACACTAATTATACTTCATCTAGGAAGCATAGTTTTGACTTCATTGAAGTTGGATGCTCTTTCGTCACATACCATAACTTTCTAGACTAAGTTGGTGAAATAGTTTTGGTAATACTGCCAAAAGTGTTGAATATTGTAAAACAGTTTCAAAGAAAAATTAAAGTGACAAAAGGTGTGGAATAGCATAAACTAATTCGAACGAAGATCATTGTGACACAGATCATGCCTTCTGCTATAAAATGGTCTTGGTATCAACTCAAAGTATTTTAAGGACAGTGGAAGAAAAAAGATGAATCTGCCTAGGGAGGCCCGGTCCGCTTTTCAGTTTTTAATTTGAGAGTCCGAGCAGGCACATAGATAATAAGAGATAAACGGATCACATTCTTTGAGCAAATGTTTGATAATGACAGCACAAGTACTTCTTTGCAGTTCATTTAGCTCCTGCTTACACAAGGCCTATGCACCTAAAGGTCTCTTAGACATTGTATGCAAGAAAATCACATGTAAAAGCGTACATGTCATGCGATGCAGGCGGGGTGGAAACGAGATCTAACCTTGGTTGAATTAAAATAATTCAAGAAGCAGAATATTACCATGCTTTATCGGGATCTTGTTCCTGGCAAAAGGGGGGCTTCCTGAAGATTTTTTGATTAATTTTGCAATGCATATGATTAGTAGGCTTCTGCCAGATTGCTAGTTCGCCTTTCTGAGTTACTTTCTTCCAGCATAGGCTTCTTGCAACACTCTCAATTTGATCTTGCTCTGCTTTCAAATCTTCGGCTGTTCTTTTCCACTCCTTCCAGCGAGTTTCCCAGTTAATAGGTGGTCCGCAAAGAATCCAGTATCCACCAGGACATAAAATTCGATCAACAACAACAACAACAACCCTGGAGTAGAGAGGCTGTTTCCAAATGACCCTCGACATCCTTCCCTCCAAGAACTCCCCACCTTGCTCTTGGGGTGACTCGAACTCACAACCTCTTGGTTGGAAGTGGAGGGTGCTTACCATCAGAGCAACTCACCTTGTCCAAAATTCGATCAACTTCAATTAAATATAGCCTATCTGCTCCATATAAAATGGATAAAAAGTAAAATACTATANATATATATCACTTAGATTACCATACTTTCCCCAAGGGATGAGATAGCGAGAACAATTTGCCATATCGAAAGCCCTAGCAGGGTTGTAGAAAGTATTAGTGGCAGATTTTACTTGTACCTTGTACTGTGAATTGTAGAGCAGTATTTTGTAAGTAGTGAGTAAGGTTTAATTAACTAGAGTTAGTAGTTAAAGGTTAATTATGGTTAGGTGTTATGGTTAGTCATCAGGTGGATGTATATAACTATGTGTATAGTGAATGACAAAATAGTAAGATTCATTTCTTCCAATTTTATTTCTCTCTCTACAACTGCTCCTTATCGTCTCTCTAGACTGAGTGTCTCTCACAGTTCACTCAATCCTTCTAACATGGTATCAGAGCAATCGATCGGTCGTCTTTTGAGCTGAAACACCACGAGTTTGAGCAATTGCAGTGCGTAGTGAGTTGAATTTCATTGAAAATTGTGCAACTTCTGAAATTTTTCCGGAGTAATTGAGGTCACAGAAACCCTAATTTTTTGTCGTGGTCAAATCTGCAATTTTTCTTGTTGATTCATCATGCCAAACACTTCAACAACTGAAGAGCGTGTTATTGTCGGCTCGATTGAGAAATTCACCGACATTCATCCTAGAAATCCATTGTATTTGCATCCATAGGATACACCAGGTAGCATCTTAATTCCTCAGCAGTTAACTGAAATTGAAAACTATACTGCCTGGAGTAATTCAATGAGAGTTGCATTGCTAGCAAAAGACAAGTTAGGATTTATAGATGAAAATTATCGTTGGAAAATGTATAAGGATGATTTGATACATGAATGGGATAGATGTAATGCTTTTGTTTTATCATGGATTACCAATTCCGTGTCAAAAGAGCTAGCAAATGGCCTTATGTACTCTTCTAATGCGCATAAGGTATGGATGGACTTGAAAGAGCACTTTGATAAAAGGAATCTCACATGAGTGTATCAATTGCATCGTGAAATCTATACTATGACTTAAGGCACTTCCTCTGTATCTGAGTACTTTTCTAGGCTGCGTAATGTCTGAGACGAATACCTCTCTTTAGTTCCCCTGCCTGGTGGTGACATGGCATATGTAGAACATATGGAACAACAAAAGCTTATGCAATTTTTGATGGGTCTAAATGAGACCTACTCCCAATCATGAAGTCAAATTCTGTTAACAGTGCCCAGTCCATCCCTAAACCAGGCTTACAACATGATAACGCAAGACGAGAGTCAATGGCTGCAATATGATTTCACAGTGTGCTCAACCATTATAATAA